GCCTAGGAACCTCTGCACATCCTTTCTGTTTTGGGGGGCCTTCCATTCCAGCACTGCCTTCACCTTGCCTGGATCCATGGCCAGTCCTTTGTCTGACAACCTGTACCCCAGGAACTCGACCTCCCTGACGTGGAATTGGTATTTTTCCAGCTTGACCCACAACTGATGCTTCTTCAATCTCTGTAGCACCTCCCTGACGTCTCTGACGTGTTGCGTTTCATTGTCCGAATAGATTAAGACGTCATCCAAAAAGGCTACACAATTCTTGTACAGCAGGGACCCCAACACATGGTGCATGAAGGCTTGAAAGCAGGCGGACCCCGATTGTAATCCAAATGGCATAACTAAGTACTCAAAAGCCCCCAGGGGGGTGAACATGGTCGTTTTCCATTCGTCCCCCTCCCTTATCCTAATCAGATTGTATGCCCCCCTGAGGTCCAGCTTGGTAAAAATCTTCCCCTGCCTCACTTCCGGGGTGGCGCCATCGGTAATGGCGGACTCCCTCTGATCCGGAGGGACTGGCTCTACGGAAATTGGGTCTGTTCCGCTATGGTGAAGCGGGGACCCTTTAAAAAATCACAGGCGGGTGAAGCCTGTGACTGTGGGACTCGGCGGGCACCTTTCACGCCCCCCCAATTTGCAAAGGAACCCAGTTATGGGCTCCGGAGCGAAGCGGGGCGAGTGGCGCGGTGCTGAGAGTCAACTGCTTCTTCCGTGGAGCGAAGCCACACAGCCGTTACCGGAGAGCGCTACCTTTTTCCTGTGACAATCTGGCTACAAAAACAACTACCCGTGAGTAGGTTAAATTTGGACAGTTGGACTCTAAACAACGACCCGTGAGTAGAACGGAAAATTGGACTAAGAAATTCCTTTTAATTTGGCACTGAAGCGGGAAGGTCTAAACAGGAAGTCAGCCTTCCGCTTTTTGTAGAAAGATTAAAGCAAAGACATGGCAAGCTAGAGTTTAGAAAACCGTTTGTAAAGGATCAACTTTCATCATCTAAAATTACTGAACCCCCTTTGGAAGCAGGAGAAGAGGGGGGATTTTTTCTGGACTGTTTAAACCTGCAGAAGAGTTTGTAAAGAAAAGCAATTTTCCACCGTCTTGAACCTGGGAGCAGGGTGTCAGGACAGACGTTTTCGGAGTTCATTGACTATAGACAAACGTTTTTGACAGACAGTTAAAAGAAGAGAAACATAGTGATTCCATTGTTCTCCTTCGCAGTTAAAAGGAACAAAATATTGACAAAATATCTGAAAAAGGAAACTTTGTTGTTAGATCTGCTTTAAAAAAAAGAGAGAGAGAGATGGATACAAATAGAAGTTCTTCCCCTAGAGGGAGCTTGTGAAACTGTTATTAAATCTGAACTGGGGAGCTTTGCAGCTGCAATAGATTAAGATCGTGGGATCAGACTTTGACCTTGCACAACAATGTACTCGGAGGCTCTGGTGCATGCTTTCTGCAAGACAAGTGCTTTATTGGAACAGTTACATGAGAAGACGGATTTGATGACTGTTGCGATCAGAAACTTTGGACAGGTAGTGGGTATCTATATAGAACCCACTCAGGAATCAATTCAGGAGTGTGCTCTGACAGATCAGATGAGGGAGGAGGTTGCGGCTGGACCCCGGGAGGCAGAGACAGAGGGAACTGTGGCCCAGCAGGAACATGAGTTGTTGGACCTGACGAATGAACCTGGAAAAAGCCAGATTTGGAGAGATAGAGTCTTGTTTGGCTTGGAGATGGGGGGCTGGATAGACCCCCCCCTATGCAGGGATGTTTTGACTTTTCAAGTCTGGCGTTGGGCCGGGAGGAGTTTGGAGTTGTGGGGGTCCTCAACTTTGGAGGGACCTTGAAACATGCTTTTAAATACCACATGGAGTTCAGTGTGGACTATGGAAAAGGGGCTGATCTGTCGAGAAGGGACAAAAATATTGTCAAGCTGGAGTCTCCATGAGTGAAAGGAGCAGAAGACAAAGTAAAGTACAGGTATAAATATGAAGAAGATCTGCGGAAGGGCCATGGAAGAGACTTAAGGGCCTCGGACATAAGGTTACCAGGTTAATGAACTACATGGATGAGATAGAAAGGACTGACAAAACCCGAGACCAGGAGGAAGAGACGTTGGATGAAGATTGGAAGAAAGTTTTAAAAAATTCTACTTAGGAATGTTTTCTAAAATTAATGAGTATTAGAAAAATGTTGGAATGAAATTATTTGGCTTTAGCAGAAATGTTAAAAAGAACTATGTAAGAATATGCTATGGCTATGAGAAATTGGTATAAATAAGATTTAAGTTTTAAGTTTTAGGGTTCTTTATGGTAAGATAAGGTTAAAATAGATTAAGGTAATTTAATGACAGAATATTATGAAAAATGGAAAGGATTTGCTGTGACAATCAACAACTAGAATACAAAAAAGGGAGGTGTGAGGAGGTCGATGAAATAAGGTAATGACAGTTAAGGATTTGGGAATATTGGATCTGTTTTTAAATCTTTGTGGCTTATTTTTGTTTTCTGATTTTGATGTGCTATGTGTTTTGTTTTTGCTTTTTGATTTTGACTTTTATCGATTTGTATTGTTTAATTGCTATTTGTTTCTTGTTTTTTCCTTCTTTTTCTCTTTGTTTTTTTTTTGTAATTTTAAAATTCTCAATAAACATCATTTTAAAAAAAAAAATCTTCCCCTGCCTCACACGTGTCAAAATATCGTCAATCCTGGGCATTGGGAAAGTCACGGGTTCTGACACCAGGTTTACGGCCCTGTAATCCACGACTAATCTGGGCTGATTAGTCTCTTTTTTGTCCACAAAGAACACTGGACTGCCTCCCACCACCTTTGATTCCCTTATGAAACCTCTCTTCAGGTTCTTGTCAATAAACTGCCTCAACTCCTGCATCTCCCGGTCGGACATGGCATACAGCTTACCCACCGGTAACTGAGCCCCTGGAAGCAGGTTGATTTGGCAGTCAAATGGCCTGTGGGGGGGCAGTCTGTCTGCCTTCCTCTCGCTGAAGACCTCCTTCAAATCTGCATATTGTGGTGGCACCTGCCCTTTTTCCTCCAGGGCCACCCCAGCCACCCTGGCCACAGTTATTCTTGGTTCCTTCCTTCCCTCCCAGACAGTGTTCTAAGCAGTAAGCTGACCCAAAGGTGAGCGACCGCTGATGCCATGACACCACTGGGTCATGTATTGTCAGCCAGCTCATTCCCAGTATTATTGGGGGTCCTGCCAGCATGGCCACGTGAAAGGCAATGGTTTCTGTGTGCCTGGAAACACTCATCCGCATTGGCGGTGTCTGGTGTGTCACTTCCCCTCCCAGTAGTTCCCTGCCATCAATGGTGGTCACCTGCAAGGGAAAATCTAGTGGCAACAGGTGGAGCTGGTGCTCCAGAGCGAAGTCTCTGCTGAAGAAATTACACGAGCTGCCAGAATTCAGCAGCCCCTCCACTTTGACTGGGTGCCCATTTGGGAGTTCTAGCACCACTTCAATGGCTATAGCTGCCTTGGGAGGGTCAGGCTGGGGCACTTCTATTGGTTGCTGGCCTGGCTGCTGCCCCTGCTGGTTGGCAGCCAGGCTTTCTCGTTTCCCTGCACCGGCCCTTCCTCCCCCTTCTCGTCGTGGCCTGCAGGGACTGACGGATTGCTGTAATGGTTCTAGGGGTTGCTCGTGCGTAAGCAGGTGCCTATCTCCCCGGCTGGGTGCAAACACCTGGCTGGGTTGCCAAAGTGAACATTTTCTGTCCGGACAGCCACTCACCCGTGGCTGACTCAATCGCTGGCAGAATCCGTCAGTGGGCGTTTCTTAAACTTCTTCCAGCAAAGAAGCTCTTTGACGCCTAGTCTCCTCCTACTCTCTCTGCGCGAAAGCCTTCTGCGCAAGGAGGGCGTGGGCAACGGAGGAGCCCTACTCTCCCCGCTGGTCCCAGGCAAGGAGTCATGGGACCGCCTCACCGCTTCCCCCATCTGCCCCCCTTCTCCACTGGTGCTACGCTGATTCTCTTCCCCAGAAGATGGGCTGCTTCTCCCGATCTCTGGACGCTCTCTGGAATCCCTCTGGCTTTTGCTCTCTCCCTCCGACACTGATGGCAGTTACCTGACACTGTGCTTCCATCTTCTGCTGATTTGCCTCTTAAGGAGAAGATCTTTCAGGAAGCGCATTCGTTTCCATTAGAGCTGTGCTAAATATTATCTGGTGTTGATTTTTGGCTATAGTACTAGCGAGTAGGACATTTAAGGGGGGGTGTTAATTTAGCTTACATTTAAAGGCAAATCTTATCACACTGGCACTTTCTGAAACAATATTTGAACCAAAACACACCCATTCTTTGCAAACCATACTTCTCTAAATTTCGCAATGCAGTTCTCCAGCCAACTAATGTGTACAAAAATGCACATACTAGGGGAAATACGCACATGGGGAGATATGACAGGAGCGAGCCAACAGCAAATCACACCAAGCAAACTGGAGCTAACTCTTTATTAGCAAATACAGTCATACCTCGGGTAAATATGCTTCGGGATGAATATTTTCGGCGACCCGGAAGTAACAGAGCACGTTACTTCCAGGTTTCTCCGCTGACGCATGCACAGATGATGCTCAAAATGACATCACACGCATGCTCAGAAGCGGCGAATCGTGACCCACGCACACGCAGACGCGGGTTGCATTCGCTTCAGGATGCGATCGGGGCTCTGGAACGGATCCCGTTCACATCCAGAGGTACCACTGTAGGATCTGCACAAGAATGTCAGGCCTAATGAGCACTACTCAGGTCTTGCCCCCATGGATCAGTTGCTGAGACTAAAGATCCCACATCCCCATTGTTACCATAAAGCACCAATGCTGCAGCAAGCAAAGGCTCTAGCAGCTCAGCCAGCTGCTTGTGGCTGGAAAGCCAGACAGGATGTTTGTGACTGTTGCCATGGGAACAAAGGGGCAGTCCATTCTGTACTGAGCACCGGATGTTAGCTCAGTGTGTGTGTGTCATATGACCCGTACTGGATGTACTTGGGAGGAGTTTCTTCTTGCTGTTGTTGAGTGCAGACATGATTCTCTGTACTGATGTAAGAGGCAGAAATAAATGATGTAAATAGTTTTCTGTCTGCTTCTTTCCCTCCCTGGGGACACCAAAGGGGAGAGAGGAAGAACGGTGTGTTCCTCTCATACATCTGAGAAGAATCGCCGGACCTCGCCTGCTTATCAGCACAGTGGAGACGCAGCGAGGTCGACAGGAATATCTGCCGGTGCCTACGCTGTGGCACATTCCTCTGACCCAGGCAGAATTCCAACAGTGGTAGCAGAGGATGGTTGCGATTCATCGGACATCTGCATGAGAGGCTGGTGGATTGTCCTCCACTGCTCCTAAGGAGGAATAGAAGCGTCTGAAAGAAGCCAGAGGCTCCACAGACAGCTGGTGGAAAGAAGAGGTGTTTTCCAGAGCAACAAAGTTCAAGGTATGCTGCATTTCGGGCTAAAAGTGTGAACGCAGGAAGATTAATTCCCTGGTTCACGGAGCTGCGTTTCAAAGAAAACAAAAGCTCCGAGAGGAAGAGGCCTGCAGCTTGAAGGCTGAAGCCTGCATTCCACAAATTTTTGTGGTAGATAAGGAGTCCCATTGAAATGCATTGTTGCTAGGCAACGGTCCTGGAAAGTTACTGGCAAGGGGCTGGACTCTGAGTGTAAGCCTGGGAAAGCGAAACAAAACCAGAGAATGTTTTGGCTACAAGGTTTACGAGCTCTTGGAAGGGACTTTTCAATAGCAGCCTGAGTTTAGCTGCCAGGTGCAAAGAGCGTAAACAATTTGCAGTTTGCTGCGTGAGAAAAGAAAAAAACAACTGTTGGATTTTACAGTTTGTTTGACATTGTGAGCTGGAGGCTTGGCTTCAAGATGGATGCCAAGAAAGGGGAGGTTTGCCTTGCCCACCTCCCTTAACCAATGACAATTATTCATCTTGGTCTGTAAAGATGAAGGCCCTGCTGCAGAATCAGAGGCTTTTTGATGTAATTGAAAACCCCATCCCTGCAGCACCAACCAGAGGTTGGGAGTCACAGAATGTAAGGGCCAGGACTGCTATAATTCTGTGTGTCTCAGATGATCAGTTGGTGCATGTTCAGCATTTAGAAAATGCGAAAGAGGTATGGGACACGCTGCGTACAACGCATCAGAGAGATGCTGGTTCTTCAGCGTTGCTGTATTTTGAGAAATTGACCAATCTGAGACTTGCGCCTGATGGAGATGTTCAAGCGCACCTGACAGAAATGAAGTTTCTGCGTCAACAGATGGTGGAACGCAATTTCCGTCTTCAGGAGGAAGTGTTTTGCTTCATGATGATAAACAGCCTTAGCCGCACCTACAAGGTTGTTGCCAGTCAGCTTGGTTCCCTACCGGCCGCGCAGCTGACCGCGGAGAGAGTTTGTGCTGTGGTCCTGAATGAACACGACAGACTTGCTGCACTGGAAGAAAAAGACAGGGGAGGGAAGAACAGAGTTCTAATTCCCCCACTGCTGATGCTACTGGAGAGCATGGTGTAGCATTGAGTGCTGTCCGATGCTACAATTGTGGACAGACTGGGCATCTACAGCGAAACTGTAAGAAGCCGCGCCAGTCAAGAGGAGCAAAGAGCAGCTCTACGAAGCCTCAGGCGTCAGGCAAAAGCCGTACCAAGTGCCAGGTGAAACCTGCAAAGGCTATGATGGCGAAAGGAACCACGCCAGATGTTGGGAACTCGTTCATAATTGACACGGGCGCAACGGTTCATATGTGCCCGCACAGAGGACTATTTTCGACGTTGAAGAAGCAAAGCTTCACTGTGAAACAGGCCAACGGTCAGGAGTTGGAAGCGACTGGAATTGGGACTGTGTATCTTGAGAGTCTGAACTTGACTATAAGTGATGTTTACCTGGTTCCAGAACTGAGATTTAATCTGCTGAGCGTGTCGCAGATTGCAAAGAAAGGACTGAAACTGTCCTATGATGCTAAAAGCTGCAAGATCTACAAAGATGGAGAACTGTTTCTTACTGCCAAAGAGAAAGATGGACTGTATTTGTTGACTTTTGATCAAAGTGATTACATGAAATGTAATTCTTCTGTTTCTAACGAAATCTCTCTTGCAGGTGTGACCAGTGTGAGCACCAGGAAGGTGACTAAGACCAAGAAGGTCGACAGAGCATTTCAGCGGGTGTATGCTGATGTGATTGGTCCTCTAGAACCATCTAGAGGCGGTGCAAAATATTACCTTGTGTGTGTGGATTGTTTCACTAATTATTCTTGGGTTTATATGATGGAGAAACCGCAAGAAACTTTAGAAAAGTTTCAGGAGTTTTGTGACAAGGTTAAAAGTATGCATGATGCTAACATTGATTGTCTTTTCACAGATGAGAAGCAAATTTTTCTGTTGCAGAAGTTTCAGAAGTTCCTGGATGGAAAAGGGATAGACCACAAAGTGGCAGTCTCGCAAGAAGCGTGGAACAGGGGGGGTCTGTGTAAGAGTGAACAAAGAATTGCAAAAGGGGATGAATGCGCAATTGCTGAGTTCACATTTGCCACATGAATATTGGGCCGAATCGCTAGCGTCCTATCTTCATGTGTGGTTGAGAAAAGTCTCAACAGAGTTGGGATGTTCTCCTTTTGAGAAGCTGTTCAATAGAAAACCTTCTGTTGCCTATTTTAAGGTTTTCGGGTCTCATGTGAGAACAGAAGCTCCAGGTGGTGTAAAGAATGCCAGAGGCATTTTTGTGGGTTATGAAAAAGGTCTCTACAGAGTAATTTTGTCTGAATCTGGTCAGGTGATTCTCACAAAGTTTCTAGAGAGTGCTCCTGAACAGGAGAGCGTTGATAGTACAGACATTTCCCACAGAGAGATTCTGATGATGATGATGATGAGTTTGATCTTATTGAGTTCAGTAGTACTGATGATGACAGCGATAGCTCAGACAGCTCAGTTGTCACAGTCATTGAGAGGAAATCTCACACAATGGATAGACCTTCACAGGTGAAGGATGAACCACTGATTGCTACTGGTTCTCAACAGAGTCCAAAGGTTGAACCAGTGAGCACAGAAGATCAGAACCTCATACGCAGGTCTGAGAGAGTTACAAAGGGTGTACCACCAAAGAGGTACTCAAAAGAGTTTGCTAACTTAGCTGTTGCATGTGTTGCTATTGTTAACAACTCAAAGCAGGTTGAAGCAGTGTCTACGTCAGAGACAAAGACACAACAGAGGGTAGCTAGCCAAGGTAATGCAGAAGCACTCATTCCTTGGAAGCCAGACAACCAGAGAGGTACATTGGTTAAACCAGTGGCGGGTAGTTCCAAGGGTGGAACTGAAACAACAGGGGAATGTTATAAATATAACAACTGTTTGTTTTCTTCTCTGGATGACGCTTTGCTCGCGGCACACATTGATACTTTGGGGGAGTATGTTACCATAAAGCACCAATGCTGCAGCAAGCAAAGGCTCTAGCAGCTCAGCCAGCTGCTTGTGGCTGGAAAGCCAGACAGGATGTTTGTGACTGTTGCCATGGGAACAAAGGGGCAGTCCATTCTGTACTGAGCACCGGATGTTAGCTCAGTGTGTGTGTGTCATATGACCCGTACTGGATGTACTTGGGAGGAGTTTCTTCTTGCTGTTGTTGAGTGCAGACATGATTCTCTGTACTGATGTAAGAGGCAGAAATAAATGATGTAAATAGTTTTCTGTCTGCTTCTTTCCCCTCCCTGGGGACACCAAAGGGGAGAGAGGAAGAACGGTGTGTTCCTCTCATACATCTGAGAAGAATCGCCGGACCTCGCCTGCTTATCAGCAGAGTGGAGACGCAGGGAGGTCGACAGGAATATCTGCCGGTGCCTACGCTGTGGCACATTCCTCTGACCCAGGCAGAATTCCAACACCCATAGCCTTCTTTGTCTCCTCCTCTCCAGGCTTTTCTCCAAGCAATCAGACTGTGTTTGCATGCCTGTCTTTTTTGCTCCTGCTTCATGTGTCTCCTGGTTCTGGGAAAGGAGCTTGTCACAGCAGGAGGAGGAGACACCTGTGCCTCTTCACAAGTCTGACCCATCTCTGCCTCTCAGCTTCCCTCCCCTCCTGCTTCTGTTTCTGCCTTTGTTTCTGGACTTCTGTCTGCACAGACTCTCCCCACTCACTAAGCCCTGTTACCCCTTTAGCTTGCAACACCACCTGTTCCCAGTCTTCTCCCTCTAACCACTCAACGTTGTCCCTAGGTTCTGAGCCTTCCTCCCTTGGGGGTTCCCCAGCTGGTGTCTCCCACAATTCTTTCGTATGCAACAGGTCCATGATGTACTATTATTTTTAGAAAACACTCACCATGAATGCCTCCCATGTTCTTTTATAACGGCTTTGCCGCCCACTTGAGAGGTGCCAGAACTGAGTTCTGGTGAGTTCTGGCTGGGAAAAAAAGCCCTGATGGCATTATTAGTGCAAAATGCATTATTTCAGGGGAAACTGCTTTGGAACACTGTGATAGGAATTTGCACTAAAATGTGGAGATTTGAACATTTTGTACTATGTCTTAAAGAAGTTCACAAGGATCAAATTTCAGAACTTTTGATGTAGAATGAAGATTCGAAAAGACCTAAGGCCTAAACAAAGCATCTGCTAAGGAAGACTGTTGCTTTGGTGCTGCTTGCCAAATCAACCAGGAGTGTTTTTGTTAACTTTGGAGTTTAACTAGCAGAAACTACTATTACAGACAGCTTGTATGTCCTAAAGTTACATTTCTTTTTTCTATTAAAGTGCAGTCAAATATGTGTCCAATACTGCATTCATCTGGCTTCTGTAACTCTCGTGTGCTTTCAGCATTGTTATATTATCTCTAAAGATTGAAGCTTTGGCCCTAAGAGATGTTGTGTTGTTCATAGGATTCCTAATTCTGTGTTGTTGTTTTTATTTCAGCACATGATGCCAAAGAACTGAATACAAACCCACAGGCTGTTTGGTTTTCACACATGGACTCAAATCTGTTTGTGCTTAGACCAATCTACAATGAAAAATAAAATCTGTGTTGCTTGACATATGCATCAGATTCATCTTTTGTATTTAAGCCACGAGAATACATTTCCACAAGTGACAGAGATAGTGCAAGAAGAGGGGATTGTTTAGTATCACACGTGAAAATGATCACTGGTTTCTTCAGACACGCTGCCTCGTAGGACAGCAGCCTGCAGCCCCACACAAAGGAAATTCAATCCGCTCAACAGCTAATTAAAAAAGCATTACCTTTCCCCAGCGCTGACCTCCAGCAGTGAAAAGGATAAAGATGGGTATCTGTCAATCATGTTTACCTAACAAACTCTGGCACAATATTGTGATGAACAGACAGATCTAAAAAAGGATGGATGATATCGCTCAGAACTCCAAGGTACTCTTAATACCACATTTAAAGAAGACCTCATCAGTAATTTGAAACCTTCAGCTTGCATGCCAGGGATACACCAGAGCTAAATTTTGCTCAGTCCTGCAGAGAGTAAATATACAGAGTGAGACAGGAACACTTTGGACGTTTGAGGAAAGCAACAGATCCCTTGCACGTGGCACTCATTTGCAGTTCTATTTCCCTTTCTCGAGACACATCCATATGGGATATTATTCCAACTAGTCTTGAAGCTTTATTTATTCCACTGCTATGTAGAATTTAACGCTAAGGCCAAAGTTGGATATGCTTAAGTCCCACTATAATCACCTGACAGAAGCACTTAAACCTAATTTATTTCAGTGAGTCTGGGCCACACATGACACCACCTGAATTAGACCCACAGTGTTCCAGTCCCTGCCCCTGGTGGAACAAAGGATTCCACTGAGCACACTCTTCTGCTTGGGTCTCCCTGGAAGAAGCTTCCGTGCAGGTGATAGGTTAAAGCAACTTGATGAAGTTTTAATTTCTTCCAGTTTGCCTGAAAGAATGAGCTTGGTTTTATTAAATTCCAGCCGGGTAATTAGCTGGGAAGACAAATGAATATGAGCCAGGACTGAGCACAGATCTATAGAGAGGCAGGTACAGGGGTACATCTGTTCCAGGCCCAAACGTAACTGGGGACAAACTCTTAATAATTATTTTTTTAAGTTGCTATTCTCTTTAGACCAAACCTTTTGAAACAAAATGTGCAGGTATCAATCAAAGCCGCTGCTCTGCGAGACAGGATCTTGCCCAGACATTTCAGTGTTCTTCGGTTTAATAGCATTAAACAGATATTTCCATGCTCAGAAAAATGATAAGAAAAATTACCCTGCTGGTGCGAATGCAAAGAAATCATTAGTAGAGCTATATTTGATGGAGAAGGGCATTGTGGTTGAGAAAGCATGGGTTACATTACTCCTGCAATGTAGCCAATACTGCTGGAGTAGAATTGCTGGGGGTTGGGGGAGTTGGGATATATTCATTTATGTCAACACAGCAGTGTCGTCCAGTGTTATTATCCAGTATTTTGGTGTGTTCAGTTGTTTTTTGAGAAATTCAGGAGGGGAGGGGGCTGGGAGTTAAGTTGACTGCAGTCCTAAATCACTTTTGACACGCACTCTGTGCCATGTGAAATACCACACCCGTCATTGCACTGAATGTAGCAATGCCAGCCTAACTTCAATTGACGAAAGACCTGCAGTAACATAACAGGTTTACAACTCGTGTAACTTGAGTTCTTGGCATGGTCTGCGGTTGGCACTGGGGGAGAGCAGGTCTCTTATGCTCTTAACAGTCATGTGGCAGACAGAAATTCAGCAGGTTACTATGGAAATGCATTTCTGGGAAAGGCATGGCTATGGTTGACAGTGAGTGGAGATGGATTGTCTGGCTTGTATTTGGTGGGTGTCCATAGAGAAAAGTTGAATGCTTATCCCAAGGAGAAATTCATAAAAAAGTGTAGACCATTTTGGCCAAGACCCTTAATGGCTTAAGTTTTTGTTATTAATGAATGATCCGCTTTGTATTATCATGTTGTTGTTTAGTCGTTTAGTCGTGTCCGACTCTTCATGACCCCATGGACCAGAGCACGCCAGGCACTTCTGTCTTCCACTGCCTCCCGCAGTTTGGTCAAAACTCATGCTGGTAGCTTCGAGAACACCATCCAACTTTTTGTCCATGGAATTTTCTTGGCAGGGATACTGGAGTGGCTTGCCAGTTCCTCCTCCAGGTGGATCACGTTTGGTCAAAACTCTCCACTATGACCTGTTCATCTTGGGTGCCCTGCTCGGCATAGTTCATAGCTTCTCTGAGTTATTCAAGCCCCTTCGCCACGGCAAGGCAGTGATCCATGAAGGGGTTGTATTATCATATTTTACTTTATATCACAGACAGACACACATTAACCAAAAAGTCTGCAAGGTTTGGGACTTTACGTCTGGCATTCACTACAGCCAAGGCAGATTCTGTGCATAAGGAGAGGAATTCTGCCTTAGGGTTTTTTGATTTGGTATAGAGTCCTACAGTATTGTTGAATTGCATGTCTTTTTAGTGCCTTGCCCTGTCATTGTTAAATGGACAAATAAAGAAATTTGTTAGAAGTTACTTCTGAAATATATAATCCCTTACAATACAGTAAATCAGCAACGGGCATGGCCAACTATTATTTCTCATTTCTTCTCTTCAGCATCATGTAATGGTATGTGTGTGTTGGGGGAGAGGGGGGTTCCCAGTCAAATAAGGATTGCAAATAGTCAAGTCAATTACCTGCAGTTAGAAGTCATAGATCTTGCTTCCCCTCTCCTAGTATTATTTCTGCAGACACTCATGGTCACTGACAACATCAGGGCCTGCTCCATTCAGACTGCTTCCTCTGACAGCCAACTTTATGTTATATTTGCCCTGCTTTATGCTTGAATCCACCTTCCTTTTCTGCCATGGTTTAACATCCATTGTATCCTTGACCAGTTAAGTAACTGAGATCTAGTTCAAAATCACAACAAGCAGATTAGATTGTGTTGCCCATGTCTACTGTACTTTTGTCTGAGATTAAAATGAGCCCAAGGAATTCCTCCTGTACAGATGCATTCCCTTCATTTTCTTCCACAAATCTTACACCTAGATACAGTTGTTCTACACCAGAAATATCTGCTAAAGCTGAGAATCATCTGCTAAAACTAGAACTTCGGGAAACCTTTAGGCTTCACAAACAATATCTTCCCTCAGAATTTCACCACATGACTAATTCATTCTGCATTCTTGCAGGTGTGTACTTAGCACTGTCTGTTTCCAAATGTGTGAGATAGATGATAGATAGATAAATAGATAGATAGATAGATAGATAGATAGATGATAGATAGATAGATAGATAGATAGATAGATAGATGATAGATAGATAGATGATAGATAGATATAGACAGATAGATGATAGATAGATGGATAGATAGATAGATAGATAGATAGATATAGATGATAGATAGATGATAGATAGATATAGATAGATGATAGATAGATAGATAGATAGATAGATAGATGATAGATAGATAGATAGATAGATAGATAGATAGATAGATAGATGAGAGAGATACTAGGTTTACCACAAAGAGCAAGGTCATGTCACCCACAATACACAGTGGTTGATATTATAGAGTGGAGCTTCTGTTTATTTTCTTCTATAGTTCTTACATATGACTTACTAAGTTGCTGTTCAATTGACACCTTTTTCTGCTTATGATGGAAAGGAAACTAGAGGCATCTTCATGTGAATCACTATACCATCCACCTTGCAGCTTTGTTGAAGTCTTTGCGCTTGGTACAAACTCTGGTAAAGAATGTGCCCTGTTGCCCTCACACTACTGGCTGGTGAAATCTAATATAATAATGACACACAAGTCCTTTCAAAACAGCCCAGTACAGTGGTACCTCAGGTTAAGTACTTAATTCGTTCCGAAGGTCCGTTCTTAACCTGAAACTGTTCTTAACCTGAAGCACCACTTTAGCTCATGGGGCCTCCAATTTCTGGGTTAGTGGAGTCTGTAACCTGAAGTGTATGTAACCTGAAGCGTATGTAACCTGAGGTACCACTGTATGCTAACTAAGGAGAATATTTAGAAAGTTGTGCACTTGAAACCACAGTATCATTCTTCTAGGGGTCCAGTATTGTGTATAGAGCTCAGACGTTAACACATCTGACAGAGGATTTGCTTTTGATATGCAAGTCCCTATATCCAGCTTTTCCTGTTGTCCATGTTGTATACTACTGGTAGCTACTGGTATTTTCAGTTGGGATGCTCTCATACTCTGCCCCTGCCTGCACCTGGGTATTTTGTCTCTTTTGAGTGCTACTTGCATGATGTCTGATTTCTTAAATGTGGATTGATGCAGATTAATGCAGAAGTGGTATGGAACAGACTTACAAATGAACCCATCTACACAGTGTTGTTAGCACAGTAAGATGGTGCTCCAGCAGGTTTTCTTTCTCTCTCTGTGTGTGTCTTCCTTTCTCTGTCACAGTCTCTGTCTCTCTCAAAATAAATCCAGTTCATTCTCTCCTAATCCTCTTTATAAAGTTTTGAAAATTCATTCATCAAAACGTTTTGCATGAGTGAGCTCCTAGAGATTAGTTTCAATCCAAAGTAACTGTTGTGGGATGGAGGGGACGTGTGCAACAACTTATGATTGTTTTCAATATATCTGAAAATATACCACATATATAAAATCACTTCAAGAGCTAATCCCATCTATTTGAATGAGAAGACAGGGCTGGCGTCCAATGACTGAAACAGATGGAAAGAAAGGAAAAAAGCACCATTCAAAAAACGGACTTAGGTAGCTTATTTATGTGCATTTCTCGCTTGCCCACAACATCATTATCATTTTATCAGGATCCCAAGGCTATCCTGATGAAGTGTGAGCAGATTGACTCACCAAAGCCGCAGCCCAAGAGAGGCCCAGCTCTCTGATCTTCATGGGCAGCTTGTGAAACTTTCCAGTTGAAGCTAAGATCTCCTCAGGGAATATGGCAATGAGCTCACAAAATCCTTTTTCTTCTTTTTGCTTCTCCCCCCTTCACTGTGATGTCTTATTTTCTTGTCTTATAGAAGCAAGGGATTGGTC